GATTCAAATTTTTTTTACGAAATTCGATTTCTAGAGAGTGTTTGGTATAGGAGAGAGAAATGAAAAAAAAAAAAAATTAAATGAAAAAGGTACCGCTGCAAATAAGCCAATTTCAGTAAAAGTCCCGCTGCAAAATAGCAACACCCATTTGGAATACCGAGTATGTACTTTTCTTTGTACTTCAAGGCTGCATTTATACTTGTCATTGGGACGGTGCGGTGGATTTTCACACTGTCTAAGGGCACATATATTCACACGTGGGTGTCATGTCAGTACTTCTGGCTGCTTGTTTGGTGAAGACGAGTTGCCTCTGCCCTTGTGAATCGGGTCAGTTCAACTGGGGAGAACTCACAGTCGGTGTGATCGTTTCTTTTTAAATCGCAAGTGAACATGATTTCCCCTGTCCATGTCATATTGCATGCTTTATGTCCTTTGTGATAGCCGAAATACGGTCACATCCATCGCATGTATATGCTATGTGGGAGCTAGGGGTTGTGTTATAGAATTTCAGTCTGTATCAACAAATCTATTAGGCAGCCCAAATAAATATGTCCAATGTGTTATTTGTTAGTTTCAAATTATTGATAAAGTAATAGGATGTCCTTAGCTCAAAATGAAAATAAAATTAAGGGATTTCTCAAATTTTATCGTGTATTATGATTTCCTCAAAATTGGATATTTCGAGAACATTAATTGAATTAGCCAAAATGAATTATAACATTACACACACACACACTCACCAGGTGTGTATACAGAAACAGCTGTACATACACACACGCAAACAAGTCACATAATAAAGTGTAGGAAACCAAATGTATGTATGTACTGTGGTTTAATTTTAATTTTGTTTTTGTTTTTTCTTACCAAAAAAAAATTAATAAAATAGGAGGGGCTTAATTGGAAATACACAAGTATCGTAGTTGGGTAAAAGTAGTATAGGTGTGCATTTAAGTATAGAATTATGTTTTAATTTAGACAGAACCAAACCCACCCAATCTCTGAACAAAGCCGCCTCAGACAAGTCAGCACTTCGCTCTCACTTCAAAACCTAGAGAGAGAAACTAACTCACTACATTACACCCCCTTCGTTTTTAGAGTGAGAAACAATTATTGGTTAGATAGATGCCATTACATATATATATATATATATATATATATATAAAAATATGTTGTTGGCAAGATTTATGGATAAAATAAAAACTAGCCGCTATATTTATTTATTGCACACACAATATAATCAATCGACCATAGGGTTTAATTTTCAGTTTCTTCATTACAAAGGTTTGAGTCTTAATTTCTCTCTCACACAGAAACACACGCACTGAATGTGAGAGAGATTGAGAGCTTAAAGTGTATTTCAAAAGTCTATCACAGTACTCTTCCCCACAATCTTCCACCTTTAAAGCTGACAGATTTCTTTCTCTCTCTAAAGTTTCCCTCTTCATTTTCCAGATATTATTTTATTATTATTTATTTATTACAGTGTGGTTTCTTTTTCTCTAACAGGCTGAAAAGAGTACTGAACAGAGAGAGAAGTTAGCTAGCTAGGGTTTCATTGTCGTTGCTGCCATGTTGGACTACGGATGGGGGAACCCGTCGTCGATCATGCTTTCCGGCGACGACAACCACCAAGACTCCGACCAGAACCGCTCCATTTTCGACCCTTACGCCACCCAGAACTTCTCCGACGCCGCCAATTTTATGAACCCGCCGGAAACCCACCATTACTCCGCCGTGCCCACCAATGATAATCCACACAACCACCACCAACTCCCGTTCCACCACCAGAACCCGAATTCCAGCAACCATTTCACTAGTTTCTACGACTCACGTGCCTACAGCGCCGCCGCCTCGTCGTACCAGCACCACCCACATGCGGCGGCGGCGGCGGCGTCGATGCTGACGCTGGAACCGGCCGGTGGGCAGACCGGTTACATGATGGTGCCGAAGAGCGAGCCGGTTAATGTTGGCGGGCTTGAGTACAACAGTAGAATAGGGCTGAACCTGGGCGGAAGGACTTACTTCGCGTCGTCGGAGGACGACTTTGTGAACCGGCTATACAGGCGGTCGAGGGCACTCGAACCCGGTTCGATGAACTCACCTAGGTGCCAAGCCGAAGGCTGCAACGCCGACTTGACCCACGCCAAGCACTACCACCGCCGCCACAAGGTCTGCGATTTCCACTCTAAAGCCTCCACCGTCATCGCCGCCGGGTTGACTCAGCGATTCTGCCAACAATGCAGCAGGTTCTTCTCTTTATTTAACTTTGTTGAAAATTACTAAAACACCCCCACCCATGCACCACCCATGCCTTGCATCTCCGTTAAATGACTAAACTGCCCTTCTGGTGAGTTCGAACATGCTAATGATTGAATGCAGCCTGCTAATCTTAGCATGGGGGTGATCCCGAGGGCATTTACGTCCGCAATTTTATATATTTCATCCTCCTCTTTTTGGCGTACTGTTTAAAATTTGCTGCTTATAGTAATTAAATAGTAATTACAATAGTACGATTTAATTTCTTTTTTTTAAATAAAAATGAAATTTTGGTTTCAGATTCCATCTGCTGTCGGAATTTGACAACGGCAAGAGAAGTTGCCGGAAAAGGCTGGCCGACCACAACCGGAGGAGAAGGAAATCCCAGCAGCCCAGTCAAGAAAACCCCAACAAATCTCATCAGCTTATTGAATCCACCGCCACCAATTCTTCATCTGAAAACCTAGCTACCAGTACCCTCTCTCTCTCTCTCTCTCTCTCTCTCTCTCTCTCTCTCTCTCTCTCTCTCTCTCTCTCTCTCTCTCTCTCTCTCTCTCTCTCTCTCTCTCTCTCTCTCTCTCTATGTGTGTGTGTGTGTTTTCGGCCGGAGAAAATTAATTATACAAAATAAATGCAGGGTCGCCGCCGGATTCAGGGCATCACTCATCGTCGGTGACAGTGGCGGTTTCGCCGCCGAGAATATCGCTGGACTGTTTCGGACAGAGATCCTACATAGGTGGGACCACCTCTTCCACGTCATCAACAAGCTCTCTCTTCTACTCAAACGGATGACGTCACCGCCGCCCGCAGTTATTTCAGGCAGGCATCCCTCTTTCTCCGGCGTTGTCGCCGGAATCCGATTCCGGAGTTTCTCACAATCCGATCAAACTGCATGCGGAACTAGCTAGTAATTATATAATATAGTACGTACGTAGTACTTAATTAATTAGTAGTCTGGTAATAACATAGTTTATTTAACCCTTTGATGTGTTATTAATTAGAATATAATTATATTTTTATTATTAATTAATCAACTGCTGCTTCTGTATTAAATTTCAATGATTTACGTACTTTAATTTGATCAGGCTACTTCAATTTTATATATAACTATTATATATGTATGTATATATATCATTATCAGTTATGAGTGTACGTTCTTTGTTAGCCATATATGAATATGTACTTCCATTGTTCTTGGGAATTGAATTCCCACTTTGCATGCCCATCTCCAGCTTTAATTAATTTTCTCTTTCAAGAAAAAATAAAAATAAAAATATAATTTATATATATAAATAATAATAATTCGGTTGAGTTCCAATTGAGTACAAGAGGTTGGTTATGGCAGGGAAAAACACATGCACGCCATTGCCATTTCAAGCTGCTGCATTATTTTATTTTTGTCTGTTGCTCTTTTTCTGGTGGTAATTATTATTTTTCATGCAGTAAAATTATATTTTGTATTTATTTAATTATTAATAAAATAACTGCGGTAAAATTTCCTTAGATGGAAGAGGGCAGTGAATCAAGCTGTCCCCTGCAAGGAGGCTATCTTTTGATGTAAAGATAAAAATTTGTGGGTCCCACTACCCTTTTTTTTTTTTTTTTTTTTTCAGTCGCATCTATCCACTTGTGTTTTTTGCTCATGTGAAGGAACCTCATTGATAAATGATAACGATATCATATATATTTATATATATTACTTTTTATTTTAATTTCACATTTTGGAAATAAAAACTACTACTTAATAGAAGAAATTACCAAAAAAAAAAATATTTGTAAATTTTTTTTTAATTTATGTTGAGAAATTCTCACGTACAGCTAGTAAGCAAATTTGAATTTTGGTCGATCGTCGCAACAAGCTCATATGTTCTAACTGTTAGCACTTTCTTTACACCACGAAAATTTGAAGTACTTAAATTTATATATGTATGTTTAATTAGTTAGTTGAAATATAGTAATATTATTATTGGGCATTTAATGAACAAAGTGTGAGACATTTTATGGATGTTTACCCGACAATATACTATTTCAGCACGCCCAAACTTGAATCTATGGCCACTGCAATTAATTCCATTTAATGTTGCACCCAACAAGAAAAATAAAATTAAAAAATTGAAAAAAAAAGTTAAAAAATTATAATAATAACACATACTTATTCGTTTTTGTTCTTCGACAACCTGACTACATCCATTGCACTACGATAGGGACGTCCATAAGATAATATATGAAATGAGTTATTTTATAAAATTCAGGTTCCAATCAAATCAATTTAAGTAATTAATAATAATTATTTATTTCACTAATTTTTTTTTTTGCACTTTTAGGTATATTCTCAAAATTAATTTCGAGCTCCACATCATGCATGTATGTGTAGATAATATACATAAATCGTTTCTTTAGAAATTACATATTGATCCCTATGCTGAAAATCTTTGCAATGTTTGGTTTTAATTCCATCTCATTTTTATTATTTACCGAACATCATTTGACTGTTAAAGTAGAGAGATTTGACATCTATGTATGTCAAAACAAACTGTAAATATGAACTAGTGAAACTATGTTTGTAAGTCTTTGTGAATTTAAGTCATTTATGTGTGTCCGAAACACATTAAATTTTTTTGTGTTATTTATTATGCTTTTACTAGTTATAATTTGTATCTACACAAGAACTATAGTTGCAACATACTACTATATTGTCCTAACAAGTAAACTGTTCCAACTAAATAAAATTGATTTCTACAATCATATAAATCAACATATATAATTTTATTTTATTTTATTGAATTTCTTACCAAAAAAAAATACTTTATGAAAATTGTGCATGAATGAATGTTGAATTGCAAAATATGATATGAAAGATGTCAGTTCCTGCAAAAAATATATATATGGAAAATCTTTTAATTCAGAAAAAAAGAATAGCATCTTTTTTATTTATATATAGAGATGTATATATATGGGAATCTTGAAAAATCAGAAGAAGTTGGTTCAATGTTTGTTTTCGGGGGCCCAGCCCGAAAACCTTGAAAAGAAATCCATTTATGAGATTATTGTACATTTTTGTGTGTGTGTGTGTGTGTGAGCAGTTGTATCAGAATATCCTTCCCAAATCTTTCCTTGTCTCACGCGGCCACGCCCCCACCTATACCCCATCCCACGCTCCCCCCTCCTCTTCTTCACGTGCCTCTCACGTGTCTTTGCTTCTCCATGGGGACCTTTCACCTCCATACTACGTTTTGTCGTCTTCTCATCACAATCTTCTGCCACGTAGGTAAGGACTTGGGCTTAGAAAGGTTCGGTCCATATAAACCGGCCCAAGATTATATATTTCAAAGAATTTTCAATAATATATGCAAATATTTTATTCAAACTTCCTTTTTTTTTTTTCAAAAACTAAAATATTATTCAAAATTTGAATCATTAAAATCAATCCGAGAATTTCACACAGATTTCAGCAATTTCCACCACATGGTTAGGTCTGGACCATGGCTCTGATACCACTGTTCGGCCCCGCACTGTTGGGCCCCCGCAGGGATAGCACATACTCTACATTGGTATGATATTGTCCAGATTGGACCGAACCCAACTAGTTTTGCTCTTGGGTTTCCCCAAAAGGCCTCAAACCAATGGAGTTAATATCCCCTTCTATACAAACCATAGATCTTTCCCATATTAAACCGATGTGGGACATTGTTTGCACCTCAACACTAATCTTCGCTTTGCAAATGACACCCTTATTTTCTGTGAAGCTAGATGTTGTAGTGTAGAAAAAATAGCACCCGAGCTATTGACTTCCACCTCCGAATGACGAACTGAAGATTAATGTGGACGATCATCGATCTTTGTAACCATACAGAGCGCTCGTTGAAGATTGTTTACAGTTATATATCAATCAAGTTCTTTCACTCATTGTTCTTTTCATTTCATTGAACGAACCGGCAATACACTAGTATGCACATAACATTGCTATAATGTATGTATGGGCACGAACGTAACGAAGGATCGTTTATTCATTTGAAAAATATACGAACTACGTACAATCGAAGTTGCAATGTAAAGGTCATCAATTACAATTACAAAGCCATGGAATATAATTAAACAAAGAAATGAAACCATTAATTAGTAAAACATAAAACATCTATTACACAGTTTTTTTTAAGGCCTTAAAAAACACGTGATCAAGAATGAAGATGAAACCAAGCAACAAAATAACAAAATATTGATTAACGGTAACCTAAAGGAACCTTCCAGAGCTCCGAACATTCTTGTTGGTGTTCATCCCTTTCCTTTGTTGACATAAACCCTAATTCTGAATTTTGAGCCTCCATCAGATCCAACGTGACATGCCCTGCCCCATTTCCGTGCGGGTTTGACCCGGGCCGGTTGTTAATCGACCCGTTAAGCTTATAATTATAATAGTCATCCATTTGATTATGATTATTATTATTATTAGGGTAATTAGTAATCAAGTGGTGGTTCTTGTTGAAGGCCGAAGTGGAGGCGCGATTCTCGGCGATGAGGTCGCGCAGGGCGGCGCTGCATGTTTCGGGGAGGTGGCGGGATGCTGACGTGGCGGTGTTGAAATTCGTCCAGTAATAATTTGTTGATGACAGAAGAGAGAGAGCACATGACTCGCCCCTAATATTATTGTTATTGATGACGCCGTCATCATGATCGTGTCGACTGATGCCTGCCCCGTTTAATTAATGAATTAATAATGAATTAATTAGGGATTAAGGTAATGTAATTAAGTACCTTGCAGTGAAAGTTTGTGAGAAAATTGGTGGTGTTGATTATCTAAATTAAGAGAAGTCTTTCTTCTCCGCTCGTTGTGACCAGCCAATCTCCTTCTGCAGCTTCTCTTTGTTTCATCGAACTCCGCCACTCTATGAAACCTGCGTGCACTTCTTCCACTTTATATATTTATATAATATAATATATATTCTAGAGAGAGAGAGAGAGAGAGAGTCTAGAGAGAGAGAGAGACCTGCTGCACTGTTGGCAGAAGCGTTGCTGAATCCCAAGAACCACAACCACGGGAGCCTTGGCGTGCATTTCGCAGACCTTGTGCCGCCTGTGGTACTCCTTCGCATCCACCAGCACCACCCCGCACCCCTCCACCTGACACCGCGGAACCGCCGCCGCCTGCACCCCGTCAACCGCGTAGTAGGGTTTCCCTTTCTTTGCCGCCGCCGCCGGTGGCGGAGGAGCAGCCGCAGCCATCATGACATCCTCGAAGTACTGCCTCTTTCCCAGCTTCAGGCACGTCAAGTGCGGGTCAAGCTGGTAGCACCGGTTGGCGGCTGCTGCACCGCCACCACCCATCTTCTCTTGCTCATGCTCCCGCAGCGCCACCGCCTGGTAAGCAGCAGCACCGGCCTCCACCACTTGTCTGGCGGCGGACGGATTACTGTAGTAACTGACAGAGTTGTTATAATGAAGAGGGTAGCTCCAATTGGCTTGTTCCGCCCCCGCCGCCCTTGAAAAGTTGCCGGCGGCATTATTGAAACTATCCCATGCATGGTGGCCATTATTAAATGTGGGAGTATTACAATCAGCAGTAGTACTACTGCTACTGCTCTTACTGTTGTTGATCAGAGAAGACCAATGATATTCCATCTCTCTCTCTCTCTCTCTCTCTCTCTCTCCCACACCTTCGAGTGTGTGTGTGTGTGTTTGAGGTACAATATAATACAATATGGAATTAGGAAGAAGTAATAAGTAGTAAGTAGTAGTGGTACTTGGGATAAGTTAGTACATTTACAGAAAGAGGAAACAATGCTGCACCAAAACTTGGGATCTGCTTCTTATGTTTGCAAAATAAGATGAAATTCCTGTATGGAAATAGAAAGAGGAGGGAGAGAGAGAGAGAGAGAGAGAGAGAAAATGAAGAGAGAGAGAGAGAGAGAAGATTAGATTGATGTGGATCAGAAATAGCTAGGGGGTGGGGGGGTATGGTTTAACTGTGTTCTACTCAAATAGGGTTATGTTCTTCAACAGAGTAAAGACTGCAATTTTTGCAGACTTCTCAGTGAGGTCATTTATCAAACACATGGCGGGTGGTTTTTCTTTACAAGCCAAATTAGTAAGTTTGCCCTTTTATCATTTATAATATAATAGGAGAATTAATATTATATACAGCACTATTAACTTTATCAGTATGTGTAAATTGTTATTGCAGGCTTATGGGGTTAAGATTGATATTATCTATGATATTTAAATTAAAAAAAAAAGGAGGATTATTGAAGAAAAATCTAGAGAGAGAAAATAATGGAGAAGGTGGGACCAGAGGTAAGTAGATGTAGTTATATGAAATGATTGTTGATTAGAATGGTCAGATATTCTGGGGAAGGAAGAATGGACAATATACATAAAGAGAAGATGGGACTTGATAAAAAAAATGTATATACATTATTATAAATTTATTTTCCTTTCTATTGTCACATTTATGCCTAAATGAGCTGAGACAACTCGGCTCGATAAAAGTTCGAACTCCAACTTGAATTTTTCGAGTTTGAATTTGAGTCTCTGATTTTTTACCAGTTAAACCCAAGTTCATTCTTATTTGTTTGTGAGCTCAATCACGAGTTCGATAAGCTCGGCTAGCTTGAGCTCAAGCGCCAAAAATATTACTCAAAAAGCTTGAGCTGGTCAAAATTAATTTGAGCTTGCCTAAGCAGTCAAATTGGCTTATTTACATTGCTACTCACATTGTTGTAGAACGGTGAAAACATGGTCCAAATTTGACCTATACTCCAATTTATTCAGGCCTTGTTTGCTTACATATATCGGATTACATTGGATTAGGTTAGATTGAATTAATATTCCACTGACTAATTAATTGTTTAGTCAGTAAAACGTTTGATTCGTTAGATTAAATTTTTATATTAAATTTATTAAATTCTGCTATTAAATGTGAATTCTCTAAAAAGTCTTTTAATTAATAAAATTAAGATATTGAATTTAAGGATAAAATTGTATTTTTCTCTTTTAATCACCCCTACAAAATAATTAATCGCATGGGAAGGAGTGCTACTAATTTAACCAAATATTAGCATTTAATTCCAGACTTCAAGTACAGTAACGGTCTTGACTAAATACAAATTTCATCAACCAAACATCTTATTAACCCCTATTATTTAATTAATAGCACTAAGTACCTTGTTAAATTGGACTTTAATTTGAGAATACCAATTATTATATTTTCTATAAAAAAAAAAGAAAAAAAAAAAAAAAGAGTACCAATGATCAGAATACAACCCTGGTTAAGTAATTAATTTGATATTGATAGTTAGAAGAAGGGTAGTTGGTAGTTTAGTTAAAAGTAAATGGATTTATTCACTTTGACACTTTAATCGCAGTTGGGCATTCAATGCCACAGTCTGTAAAGTCATGACAATATTATATTATATTATATAATATAATATTATTTTACATTTTATAATATATATATATATATATAATATATATAATATATATATACAGTGAAGTAGTTCGCACTATCAAAATCCCACCTGCACAAAAGGGGTCCCACCGCTCGATAAGATATCACACTTCAACAAAGATTTGACCAAATTTTGCCTGATTGTGACTATACATACCTTCATCCCTCTTTTTCAGTATTTCCTTCTTTAACTTTCCTTTTTTTTTCTTTTTTTTTTTTATTTACATAAATATATATATTGAGTTAGATTTTATGTTGCAAAAGTAGCATATAATATAAAAGTGTCTAATTTAATTACCCTAGTTTTGACACATAACTAATTTGTGAAACCATAACTAATTTGTGAAAACAAAACTCGCAGCCAGATGCAATAACTCGCAAACTATACGAAATGTGAAAATTTAAATTAGACACGAATTTGTTTATAAATTGAATTTGTTGTTTTCTTTTATGCATGCATGCATGATAGTGGTAAGCAAACACATTATATAAATTAATATCAATAATACATATCCTAAATTAATTAGGTAGGTGTTAAGCGGCCAAATTATAGTGGAGGTAAGAAGTAGAAGTATTGAGTGGCAAAATGAAGACGTGTTCCCCACTCGCCCACAGGCAAAGGGGGAATAAGTTCCTCGTAAAGCACACTGTTTCTTTTAATGAAACATAAAACATTACGGATAAGTAGGGCTGGAAAATAATTACCGCTTATCGAATACCACGGTATACCTACCAAACAATACCGAAAAATTACCGAAACTTCGGTAACCACTACATTTGGTACGGTATTGGTACCGTACCACTATCATACGGTACGGTAGCGGTATTGTATTTTCAGTACCATGGTAATACCGTACCGTACCGCAAATTTGAAATTTACAATTTAATTAATATATATTTATTTTATATTGGTTAGTAATTAACTAAAATTAAAATTACTACATAAAATAAATAGATCAAAACTTAAAAATTGAATTACAATTCTTATAAATTTATGAGACAACATTGAAGTTTAGTGCAACAAAAAAAAAACGTACATCCCATTTGGTTTTCACTGAAATAGTACGGCTGCAAATTGAGATTGAAAAAAAAATCATGACTCTAGTAATCTTATTTTGCAAGGTGTGGCTAAATCAGTGAAGTTGAAGTTTGACAAATATTCAAGGAGCTTTAAAAAATTGAATATGATCATATAAATAGCCAATGTTCTTTTTTAAAGTGTTGTGTTTTTATAAAGATCGTCTTCAAAGTGACAAATTAAAATTAACGGTAGAGTTACCATGTACCGATATACCGTACCGAAAGTAACGGTATACCGAATAACAGTATACCGCACTTGTTGGTACGGTAACGGTATCGAATTTTTCAATACCATATAATTCGGTAGGTACACGGTATTGATCAAAATATTCGGCAACCGTACCGAAACCACCCCTACGGATAAGTGAATAAATCAACAATACCTTCTTCTTCGCACTGCCTTTTGTGGGGGACCATCATTTTTTTCTTCTTTCACTTTTCATTTCACAAGTAAAAAAATTAACAATTAACAATAATAATAATTATTATATAAATTTATTATATATATATTTCAAAAGCCCATCTAGGCATATGAAAAACGGGTCAGCCCAATCAAATGCGAATCATTTTATTCAATTTATAAAATGGTACAGCGTTAGGCCCAAATCGAAAAGTCCATTTAGTGACTAAATTGTAGGAGCGTTCATTTGGTAGAACCGTACCGAACTATACTGGAAGTTGGTTACCCGAAAAATTTGTAGCGTTCGATCAACTGTATATTTCTAAATTGATATTATAATCGTAATATTCAGAGACAAGAAAGTATGAATTTTTTTCAGAATTTATTTTGGAAAATTAAAATCGAATCATATATCGTT